TTGATATGATAGTACAATGATGATAATAAACATGATAATGAGGATAATACAAACAATCTCAGTTAATGATAAGTAAATATTCTTGGATTTATAAGTTATTATATGAAATTTATTCGGTGAAATGCGATAGTACACTGTAATATTATGAAAGCACAAACACTTAAAACTATATTTTAAAAAACTTGTTGACATAACAGTAAAAGTCTAACTTTGATGACCGTCAGTAATGATATCAGTGGGTCCCTTCTGGAAAATAGTACAACCCAAATAAGTGGCCAATTGCTTGGCAGCATCACCCGAAAAACGTTTGTTGTCATCGAGCTTCTCATCGCTACCGAACGCATGCTCATACAATCTCGTAAATTCCGGATAATTTGGTGTTAATATCGCTTTCGGATAGTCTTTTATCAGTGAAAGTTTCGTCGCCAACATATACAAAGCATCCTTAAAGTTACTTCGCTCTATCATCATCCCTATTTTCAGTTTTCACGCAAAAGTCACACATTAAATACATGGCTTCGCGGTGTATTTGCAACTTCTGAACATTGTTGGTTCGTATGAAAGCTACGATTTACTGAATATCATACGGAATTTTCTTAGAAAATAGACTGAAATCAACTGAAGTGGAAAACGAAAGGTAACGCGATAGTGATAACAGCCAAATGAACAATAGTGATGATGAACGGAACGGTAACAAAACGAACAGCATCAATGATTATCGGTAGCTGTCGCTCTCTGCTGATTTGAATCGTGTCCTCCACAACACGCATCACTGCTTGATCTCTACCCAAGCCAGGTCCTAATATCAGCGAATCAATACGGTGTATCGAGTCATTTATCGTATTCCTGTCGTATGATGGATGTACCATCAACTCTGGACTGTACGACTTTATAATCGGTGCTGCTTCCGATGGACAAAATACGTGTACCATATCGCCACCCTCAAACCACCCCAAGCATCATTATCCCATCACTCCAAACATAAATGCTCACTATTATCGAGTGATTGTGAGTAAAGCAAACTTATGTTACCATCATCCATTAATTGTTATTTGCTTCGTTAGACGATTCTTGAGACCAACTTAATCTTCTCTCAAATTTCATCGTCAGCCATATAATATCACAACAAAAATGTACTTTTTTATAGTGTAGTTAGTGCTTATTGACAGAAATTTGTCGCTCGTTCAATGTCATCATCATTTTTGTTTCAATCTGCATCAAGTAACTGCGAGACGATTACTGAGTACTCGCATTCATTAAAATATCATTCATAATTTCGCAAATAATTCGATGTAACATTACAACTGTAGACATTACAAGTATAGACGAACCACTCGAAGCGATGTCATCGCCGCGAAGAACGGTGCACCCGTGTACAGTTTTGATCCTCCAACGACACCGATACGTCCCAATTCACCCTTTCGCAATGTTTCGTTCAACTTCGGTAACAATTTGGCGAATAATGGCTGATATGCTTAAATGTAGAGCAGCTTCATGAATGCGCAGCTGATCTTTATGCAATATTTCTAATCATTGTCTTTTCCTGAACTGTTTGAAGTCCCCCTCGTCGGCACTTACACTTCGAAGTGGAGTGGAACATTAGTCCAGACACCACTGAAGATTTTCGAATGAATCCTTTGGATAAGTTACAAGATGATAATTCATTCCTTGAGCTGAACATTA